GGGACCAGTGGCCATGATACCAATTTATTTGATGTTGACCTTCAGACCGTGTTTTTTTTCACTCTCCCTTTTCACCCTCATTAAGAAGTTCTTTATTTCCTCCTCACTTTCTGCCATCAGAGTGGTATCATCTGCATATCTAAGGTTGTTGATATTTCTTCCGGCAATCTTAATTCTGGCATGGGATTCCTCCAGTCCTGCCTTTCGCATGATGTATTCTGCATATAAGTTAAATAAGCAGGGTGACAATATACAGCCTTGTTGTACTCCTTTCCCAATTTTGAACCAATCAGTTGTTCCATATCCAGTTCTAACTGTTGCTTGCTGTCCCACATATAGATTTGTCAGGAGACAGACAAGGTGGTCAGGCACTCCCAATTCTTTAAGAACTTGCCATAGTTTGTTGTGGTTCACACAGTCAAAGGCTTTTGCTTAGTCACAGTAGGAGTTACTTGTACATAAACATGCAAAGGATTGGAATGTAAAATTTCATGCTTATTTTACTTATTTACTTATTTTACTTGACACCTTTTTTTTACTTTATAGCTACATGGTGTAAAATATGGTTTATACAGTTGTTAATTTTTAGAGAGATGTATGCTCAGTATGAATATCAAGGTGAATGTGAATGCAATGAAATGGCATAGTTTGACAGACGTCAGAGGACTCGGTTATTTCTCTTCTATCTAATGACTCAGTTATTTTGTGCCAAGTTAATCTGACTTACACTGATTTTTCTCATTCACACTTCTTGAAGGTACAACTGTAATAGTTCTGAAGCTATTCAAGAATCTGCCTGTGAGAAAGCAGTTTTATTCCACTGATAAAAAATGTAAGGAAGAAATTAAAAAAATTCAGAAACTTTTGATGGCCTATGGCATCATAAAACCAGAACTGAGGATAACATTTACACATAATAAGGTAAGAGGTACCTTTCCTTCACCACTGCTGGAATGGTAGCAGTTTTATGGTTATTTTAATGAACCCGCAGTTGTCAATTTGAGTTTAGGTCAGGCTTCGGTGTCTCAAATCCAGAAAAAGTCCCAAAATTAACAAGATGTACCTGAGGCGCAACTAACCTACCCTGTTAATTCTGGTCAGACTTCAACATGATTTCTCTGATGACTATGATTACTTTCTTGACTTCTGGATATTGTTTTTAATGTTGGGCTGAATAATACAGATATACATCATTAACAGGAAATTTAACAACAACATCATTTTCCACATGAAAATAGCCATAGTGTGGGTAATACTGTTTGTTGTCCTTAAACATTTATTTTTGGTTATTGAATTGATGTCAGTTGGCATAGACATTTCATGTATAAACTGAGGAATCATGCCTGCAAAAGTGTTTTTGAAAGATAATCTAAGTGCCATTGTAGGCAGAGCAAAAGTTATAATAAAGCTATAGAAGAACAGTGCTGCACCTTTTTTATATGCAGCAAGAGCATGGTATAGGCAGATCCTGAGCCTTATGCTCTGTACATACCGTATTTTTCGCTCCATAAGAACTTGGATACAACACACTGGTAATAACATCACCTGCAATGATATTCCTTCTGAAACTGTCATAACAGGTGGTAACGTCATTACTTCTGCCACATAACAAGCGATCTTCATTGTGTTTGCTATTCAGATGGAAGACGGAACTAATTAGAGGGCACTTTATAGGAATTTTTTTCCTAAATGTCAGGCCATTTTCTTGCTGTTTCAGATTTATTTATTTTTGGAAAAAAAAATTAAGAACTGGACATTCCTGAAAGGTAATGGCCAAAGTAAACAAACTATAAGAAATTATTTTTAATGATTGCAGTATTCCTTTTGAAGTATTACTTTCCAAAGTAGGCATAATTCATTTTGCTTTGCCAGCAAAAGCAAGTTGGAGCTCTGCCCTACTACAACTGATCCTATTTCAGAAATGCTTGAATTTTTTTCCCGCAATATAGACTTCTGCTCTATATGGAGTAAGAGGTGCCAATGTTCAGTTTAGAAAGGGATGTGCTCTAAATCATATTGGAAATATAGTTTAATTACTGGAGTATACCAAATAATTTCGGGGGGGGGAATGCCATAACGTTTTATTGTCTCGATGCTTAATTTATACTCTGTATAAGAAACTATTGTTAGAATATAATATGAAGAAACAAAATAGTCTCCTTATTGGCAAAGGTGTAATTTGGACATATGTTGAGAAGATAAGACTCCATGGAAAAGAAGTGCTGGGGAAAATGAATGGCAGTAGGAAAAGAGGAAGACCTAAAATGAGATGAGTTGACTTAATAAAAGAAGCCACAGCCTTTAGCTTACAAGATCTAGGTGGGATGATGATAATGGTACTTTTGAAGATAATTAATTCATAGGGTTTCCTTGAGAAGAAACAGCTTGATGGCTCATAACATAATGGGTTGGGGCAGGTATGTGGGGGAATAACTTCATGAACTTACAATATTTTTCCGTGTATAAGACGCCCCCCCACTTTTCTAACCCAAAATTAAGAAATCTAAGCGGGGCTTATCAAATGGAGGGGGGGAAGGATCAAAGTGCTGCAGGATCACTTTGATCTCTGCTTTCTCCCTTCGTGCTAAGCCTGGTGGAGCTTAGCAAAAGGAGGGGGAAAGGGATCAAAGCAATCCCGCGGCTGCAGGATCGCTTTGATTCCTTTCCCCCTCCTGTAGCCACAAAATAGCTTAGATCCTTTCCCCCCTCCTTTTGCTTTTGATTCTTTTCACCCTCCAGGGGCTTAGCAAGTGGAGAGGAAAGCAGGGATCAAAGTGCTGCAGGATAGCTTTGATCCCTGCTTTCTCCTCCACTTGTTTTTGTTCTCTCCTCAGCTTACTTCCATGTATAAGGTGACCCTAAATTTTTAGTCTAAAGGTTTTAGACAAAAGTATTGTCTTATAGACGGAAAAATATGGTATTTTTTACTGTTATCAGTAAAATGAATGTTTACAACACCTTATGTTTCCCATGCCATTTCTTCAGTAACTCTCCAAATGCATATACATTACTTCTTGATGGCCTTTAAACAAGTTTTTTTTTTCATGGATTTGCAAGAGAGGACTTTAGAGAAAAACTAAACAGTGGTGCAGATATAGACCATAATATGGTGACTTTTCAGGATCCCTAACCAAATGGAGAGAGTCCACGTGTAGCTTTCCTCTTCATATTCCCTCTACCCCAGGGACAACAGCAGTAAGATAGATACCATTCTGACTCTCCCTGTTCACTCATTCAAATTAAAACATTTTGAACAAGTGAATATAGCTAGTTGTTGCAGTAGTATAACAATAATCAATCTGTAGGAGCTCTCGTCTGATGCAACTGAATATGAAGAATGCCTGTATTATTATATCCAAAACAAGACTGACATTTACTGATCTAGTTGAATTTCTCATAAAACTTTCTGTTGCCTAATTCCCGTGTAATGTAAGCAGAGGAAGTGATGTTACAATTTTTTCCAGTTGCACATGTGGTAGCATGCTTATTCATGTTTGTGGAAGGGGCATAGATCTTTAAAATGTAATGAGAACCAAAGTAGACCTAAGGCTAACTGGAAGCTACCGTATTTTTCGCTCTGTAAGATGCATCTGACTATAAGACGCACATAATTTTTAGAGGAGGAACACAGAAAAAAAATTCTGAACCAAATAGCTCTCTTCCCATGCCACTGGGGAGAGAAAGAGGGGGAATGCTGGATCCAAGTCACCGAGACCGCCTTTGCAAAAGCAGCGTTGGGAAAAGCGATCCCCTCGCCTGCACTGCCTTTGGAAACGCAGTGGGTCTCAGATGGCATTCCCCCTCTTTCTCTCTCCAGCAGCAAAGGAAGAGGGCGAAAGGAGTCAAAGCAGTCCCCTGGCTCCTGATCATGGTGACTCCTTTTGCCCTGTTCCTTTGCCACTGGGGAGAAAAAGAGTGGGGATGCAATACAAGACATCACCAGGACTCGCTGGCTTTGCAGTAGGTCCTGGTGAGGGGGAAAGAGATGAAAGTGATTCTAGAAAGACCAGGGGAAAGCACAAACACAGTCCCCCACTACCACAAATTATGCAGTCGAGTTTCCCACCTTTGGGGAAATCGCAGGATCAGCACACCTGAAGTGCAGTGGATGAGACTCAACCTGGGAAAACCACCTTTGTGATCATGGTATCTCCCCTGCCATGTAAGTGTGAGATTGGGTTGGCCCCCTGCGCCTCCTGCCCCTGCCTGCGCTCTGCCCCTCAACACTGAGGAGCTGTTTTGGCCTCTGGGGGGACCAGGGCTGTGCAGCCCTCTTCTTAGCGGGAGGTGCGGCCGGGGGGGGTCGCCATGCCTTGGAGGGACAGGGCGTGGGAGGGGGTAAGAGGTGCGAGGCCACTCCAACCTATACTTACCTGGCAGGGGAGATACCATGATTGCAAAGATGGTTTTTCCCAGGTTGAGGCTCATCCATTGCACTTTGGGTGTGCTGATCCTGTGATTTCCCCACATGTGGGAAACTTGACTGCATAATTTGTGGTAGTGGGGGACTGTGTTTGTGCTTTCCCCTGGTCTTTCTAGAATCACTTTCATCTCTTTTCCCCTCAGCCATTTGATTTTGCTGCTATAGGCCTGTCGGTCCTGCTGGCTTTCCAGGCAGGCTCCAGGAGGCAGAGCCTGGAAAGCCAGCAGCTCAGACGGCGGAACGGGAAGGTCCAGTGCAGCTGCCACAGTGAGCAGCCTCTGGTGCTGGTTTGGAGGCCTTCCGCCACAGTGGTGGAACTGCGGGAGGCATCTGGGTGGGGCTGGCTGAAGAGGTTTTGAACCATTTTTATAGTATTCACTCTATAAGATGCATACACTCCCCCCCCTTGTTTGGGGGTAAAAAGTGCATCTTGTGGAGCGAAAAATACGGTATTTACAATGTTGAAAGTATGTTTTCTGCCATGCTGAAAAATCCCATGCCCATGGATGATTTTTCATTGCTGTTTGTGAAAAAGTGTGCTCTTGCATGTTATGCTGGTGTCTTTTGCTCATATTCTTAATTGAGATTGTGTGTCAGCTTGCATGGCACAATAGCATGACCCCATTCCTTATGTCTAGAGTGAGCCTTGAGGCCAATGTTTTGCCCTCAATATCCATCATGTGTTACATCGACAATGTACAACAGTGGCCTAGAATGACCCCCAGATAGAAAACAAACAGAACTGGGAGTGCCCAGATAATCACTTCAGGTTTTGGGTGTTGGGTTTGTGGCTTACAAAACCTCCATGGGAGTGCATGTAGCCAATGGGCCACTCTTTGCACACTCTTCTATTACAAGAATGGGATCAGCCTTGAAACTGTGGTGATCCTAGGAAGGCATTTTATATATTTATATATATTTATCTGTTCGCCATCATTATTTCCAACTTAAAACTTAAACTAAAGAAAATTAGATGCAGTTACAGCTTTCATGCAAAATTCTATCATTCCCAATAAAATAAAATAAAAATGCAACAGGAACTGTTTATTAACTGTCCCTGTCTGCACTATGCAAACAAAGACTCAGATATTTTCACAGGTCATGATAGAAGGTAATTTGGTCAGAGTAAAAGACAAAAGTATGTGAATTTAGATCTCTCTATGGAGAAATCCAACCAGTTCATCTGACACTTTTGATAGATGTGGTATTTGAAACGTTGCAACACAAGAGGTCGCTCATTAGCCACAGAATACACAAATAACAGAGGCCTTTTTCCTTAACCTTTGGTTCAAGATCTTTTTGGTCACCAGGAATTACTCAAGGTACCACTATCAACAATTCTGACAAAATCTCTAAAAGGTGCATGTACAGAGAAAAGAGCCACCAAACTATATAGAGAATGAGTGTGTTATGACTTGCTCTGGTCCATGGGGTCACAAAGATTTGGGACATGACTAAACAACTAAACAACAATTGATGCATACTGAGGAATTAAGAG